TGTCTAGGGCTTTGGCGGCTTCGCGGATTCCACGTGCTAGGCCGTCGTGGATGAGGGCGGTCTTCAGCACCTCTTGTAAAGCAGTGTTGACGTCCATTACACCTCCAGCCTTCCTCGGCCATGGCGGTGGGTTACGGGGGAAGCCGAATCTTGAGCACACCCGAGCCTCCGCCTCCGCGGGGCTTGGCGGCGGCAGGGAAAGAGCGCAAAGTTTGTTTTTCCACATAAGGTACATCTCATTGTTGCAATGGGTCCTCCTTTTAACATTTGTTTTTTTCCCTTCCCCTCCACATATACCAACATCATATATAGTGAAAGCAGGGGTTATACCATGGAGGAGGGACATACAAAGCAACACAGACATAATCTTATAAATATGCTAAAAACAATCTCATGAAAGATCTTTTTTTTTTTTTTTGTCAGTCCTAGGGCCTGAACTCTAGGCCTGGGAGCTGTCCCTGAGCAATTCAGCTCATCATTAGGCATGGAATTTAAAACCACAAACTTGGCCAGAGGCCAGTGGCTCACACCTTTACTCGCTTGGCTGAGATCTGAGCATCACAAAGGACACTCCCTGCCCTATCTCCAATTAAGCACCATAAAATGGGAAGGACTCTGTGGCTCACTGTGGTAGAAAACTAGCCTTGAGTGAAAGCGCTCAGGGATGGTGCCCCGGCCCAGAGTACAAGCTCCAGGACAGGCAAAGTAAAATCATAAACCCAGCTTTAGGGAACTGATAGCACATTAGAGGAAAGTGGGACCAGGCGCCCCCGGTTAAGGCCTGTCTGAGGGTCATGATTCCAAGATGGCATCCTCTCAAAAGCCAGAAGTGGTGCTGTGCCTTAAGCGAAAGAGCTCAAGGGCAGCGCCCCTGGCCCTGAGTTCAAGCCCCATGACCTACAAATAGGGGAAAGAAAAAAAAAAAAAAAGATGGGGAGAGGTGATGGGAAGGAAGCCTGGATGAGAAGGACCGAGGATGCGGCTGGAGGCGGCGCTGCGGGCCGCAGCCAGGCTCCCTCTACAAGTTCCTTCCTCCAGACCCTGCTTCCTGTTGCCCTGCAGCCGCAGCCCCAGAACAGCCTCAGTCCCTCTTCTGACCCCAGCCAACTTCCCCTTAGCGGTCTACAGCACTCTAGAGCCGGGGCATGTGGATGGCCCCGACTCAGGCCTGGAACCCGGGCCTGTCCACACCTGTGTCTGCCCAGGCCCCTTGCAGGCCCTGTGGTTAATGTGTAACTGGGCGCAATTTCTAAGGAACCTGGGTCACAAACGGATGGTGATGTCACCCAGCTTCTGGCCCAGACGCTGCCAGCCCAGCTGCTGAGGGTCCTGGGGTGCCCGGGGCTGCAGTGGAGCCAGCCTGGGTCCCTTGAAACCCCCTTCAGGCTTCTCCCTTGTTCCCCTGTTCTGGGGGCCACTGAGGCTCCCCCTCCTGTGTGGGTGGTAGGGGCCTCACCCCAACATGTTTCTTTAAAGGCACCTAAAGTCACTTACTGTGCTCCCTCCCACCCCTGCAGCTGCCGCCACCCCCACCTTCGCAGCACAGATCCCCAGGCTGCCGGGTGCAGCTCAGTGTATCCCCAGCCCAGAAGGCTGAGTACTAAAAATGGAGAGCACAGGCATGAACTTGGGCAAGGCTGCCCCACCCTCTGCTCCCCACCTCTGCAATGGAGGAGTGGAGTGCGACCCGGAGGAGGCGAGGAGGGAAGGGTTGTGGCCAGAAGTTGTAGGGACAAGGACAGGAGGAAGTCCTGTGCAACCCCAGCCCAGCTCCTGTCTCCTCTCTTCACGTCTACAAACAGAAACTTGAGCCCTCCAGACTTGGGGGGGGGGGCAGTGGCAGGGAGAGCAGCTGTGGATATTTCCGAGATGGGGAAACTGGCTACAGGGGGACAGGAGTTCCAAGTTCAAGGGACACCTGCTGTCTGGCCAGACCGACATTTGCCTTTGCACATTAGCTTGTTTTATTGCTCTAAGAAATGCTGACTTGGAACAGGAGAAAGGAATCTGCGAGCAAAGAAGCAGAGTCCCGCAACAATAATAAAACTAGTAGGAATAGGACAACCACCCTCAAGCACACAGGGGCTGCCACGAAGGGCTGCCTGGCCTTCGGGTCCAATCTCATCTGAGAGGCACCTGTCCATTGTCTCTTAAGCCTGGAATTCTCTGCCCCCTTGTCCAACACAACTGCTATTATTTGGTTCTCTTGACAATGTGCTCACTGCAGTGGGCCTGGTGTGGCAGGTCTGGGGCCTGTTTATTTTTTTTGTCCATCATGGGTGTTGAACTCCAGGCCTGGGCGCTGTCCCTCAGTTCTACAGCTCAAGGCAAGCGCTCTACACTTGAATCACAGCGCCACTTCCTGTTTTCTGGTGGTTTATTAGAAATAAGAGTCTCAAGGACTTTCCTGCCTGGGCTGGCTTTGAACTGTGATCCTCAGAGCTTAACTTCCTGAGTAGCTAGGATGACAGGCATGAGCCCCCAATACCTGGGTCTGGGGCCTTTTTTTAAAGCAGCACCCTACCCCTCTCTCACATACCCAGAGAGGGTCTCCTTGTTTTAGTCACACAGCAATGTGAAAAGCTCTGCATGGATATTAGTTACCAGACTCTTTGTTGATAACTGAATAAAATTCCACTATAGAGACAGGGCTGGGAAGGTAGCTCAGTGGTAGAGCACTTGCCCTGCATGCCTGAGGCCCTGGGTTCGATTCCTCAGCACCACATAAGCAAAAAGAAAAAAAAAGCCGGAAGTGGTGCTGTGGCTCAAGTGGTAGAGCTCTAGCCTTGAGCGGAAGAGCTGAGGGACAGCGCCCAGGCCGAGTTCAGGCCCCATGACTGGACCCCCCCCCAAAAAAAAAATTCCACTATAGAGATATCTTCCCACCAGTGTCCAGCCCCAGTGATGAGCATTGGGTTCTATCTGGGAAAGTCTGTTTTCCCCAGTACACACCTCTTTTTTTTTTTTTTTTTAACTGTATTTTTTTTGTCTTTTTTTTGGTACTGGGGATCGAACCCAGGACGTTGCACTTGCTAGGCAAGTGCTTTGCCACTGAGCTACATCCCAGCCCAACACACACCTCTTTTTGTATTTGCAGGGAGGAGTGTGGACACCATCCTTTCTTGAGAGGCCGAATTCCTAGAAGTGGGAATGTTGGGTCATGGGGGTTAAACATTTTTAATTTTATAGATACTGCCAAATACATTCCAAAAAGGACGCAGCAATGCACAGCTCCAGGCAGAACGTGGGCAAGTCTGCACAGCCTCCACGGACAGCCAGCACTGGTCAGGCCAGTCTTCTACATTTTTTTTTTTTTTTTGGTTGGTAGTGGGGCTTGAACTCTGGGCTTGGGCTTTGTCCATTAGCTTTTCAGCTCAAGGCTAGTGTTCTACGGCTTGAGCCACAGCGCCACTTTCGGTTTTCTAGTGGTTTATTGGAGATAAGCGTCTCAAGGACTTTCCTTGCCCGGGTTGGCTTTGAACCATGATCCTCAGATCTCAGTCTCCTGAGTAGCTAGGATTACAGGCGAGAGCCACCAGTGCTGGGCTTCTACATTTTTGCAAGCTTGAGTGGGTAGGGTAAGAGGACATAAACTTCCAGCTTAATAGTTCAAGTGATTTGGGCTGGGAAGGTGCCTCAGTGGTAGAGGGCTTGCCTTGCATGCCTGAGGCCCTGGGTTCGATTCCTCAGCACCACATAAGCAAAAAGAAAAAAGCTGGAAGTGGGGCTGTGGCTCAAGTGGTAGAGCGCTAGCCTTAAGCTGAAGAGCTGAGGGACAGCGCCCAGGCCCAGAGTTCAGGCCCACGACTGGACCCCAAAAAAAATAGCTCAAGTGATTTGATTAGTAAGATAATCCTTTAAAAAATGTCTTGCAAGGTGGCTTAGTGGTGGAGTGCTTGCTAGCAAGGCGTGAAGCCCTGGGTGTGATTCTTCATTATCACATACACAGAAAAAGCCAAAGTGGGGGGCTGTGGCTTAAGTGGTAGAGTGCTAGCCTTGAGCCAAAGCTCATAGTGCCCAGGCCCTGAGTTCCAGACAGGACGGACAAAAAAAAAAAAAGAAAGAAAAAATCTCTGGCATGCACAGCAGCATTTGCTGCAACCTCTGCGCGAGTCTCCAGGCGGCCTCCGAGGGCGAGGCCTCAGGGGTTGGAGACTGGCTAGCATCTCCTCCGGGAGTGGAGGTGGGAGACGTCTCCCGGGCCTCGGCTCTGGCCTCGGGGCCTGGAAGCCGCGGTGCTCGCCCAAGGTCAGGGCGCCCGAGGCTGCGGGGCTGGGCCGGAGCCAGGCTGCGCCGTTGGCGCTGCAGCATCGGGAACACCGGAGGTGTCTGCGGGCACCTTGAGGGCGAGCAGGGCCCGGGCCGCCCGGCGGGGGGACCCCGGCGGCGGGGGAGACCCTTCACCCCTGCTTCTGGGTGACCTAGAGTCCGGCCTGGGTTACCGCAGGGAGATTTTCCAGCCTCAGTTTCCCGCCTGGAGGTTACGTGCGTCTAGGGGGCCCAGGCGCCCGGGGTCCGGAGTGCCGGGCGGGCGGGCGGGCGTGGTCCCCGCCGCGGGGTCATCGGGGCGAGGGGGGGGTCGGCGGAGGGGGGCTGGGGCTGCGGGCGAGGGACAAAGCGGAGGCCCCACCCCTGGGCGCGGGCCAATGGAATGAATGGGCTATAAATAGCGGCCAATGGGAGGCCCGCGACGCGCTCCTTAAGAGCCCCGGAGCCGAGCGGCCCCCGTCCGCCTGCGCCGCGCTCGGAGCTGCTGTCAGCTCCGCGCCCCGCTCCGCCCGGCCTCCCGGTGAGCGCGGCCCGGGCGCGGGGAGGAGCGGGGCGGCCGCGCGGAGGGGGCGCGGGGCAAGGGCAGCCGCACGGAGGGGTCGCGGGCCCGCGGGCTGCGGCGTTGCGAGCGCCCCGAGCGCGCGGGGCCCGCCGAGGTCCCGGGCGGCCGCGCGCCGCGGACCCCGCTGACCTTGGGCGCGGCCGGGGGCGGCCGGGGCCGTCGGGCCCCGCGCCCCGCTGACCGCGGCCGGCCTCCCCGCAGCCCGCCGCCGCCGCCGCCATGCCCTTCTCCAACAGCCACAGCGCGGTGAAGCTGCGCTTCGCGGCGGAGGAGGAGTTCCCGGACCTGAGCAGCCACAACAACCACATGGCGAAGGTGCTGACCCCCGAGCTGTACGCCGAGCTGCGCGCCAAGTCCACGCCCAGCGGCTTCACGCTGGACGACGTCATCCAGACCGGCGTGGACAACCCGGGTACGCGCGCCCCCGGCCGGGCCGGGCCCCGGGTCCCCCCGCGACGCCGCGCGCGCCCCCTGCCCCGGCCCGGCCCCCGCGGCGCCCCGCGCGCGTCCCGTCCCCCCGCCCGGTCCCCCCGCGCGGGCCGTGACGTCACCGCCTCCCCCCCAGGCCACCCGTTCATCATGACCGTGGGCTGCGTGGCGGGCGACGAGGAGTCGTACGAGGTGTTCAAGGAGCTCTTCGACCCCATCATCGAGGACCGGCACGGCGGCTACCAGCCCAGCGATGAGCACAAGACCGACCTCAACCCGGACAACCTGCAGGTGCGGGACGCCCGGGCCGGGCGCGGGGCCCCGCGGGCGGGGGTCCCTCGGCGCTCACCTCACGTCCTTCGCTGCGCCCCCAGGGCGGCGACGACCTGGACCCCAATTACGTGCTGAGCTCGCGGGTGCGCACGGGCCGCAGCATCCGCGGCTTCTGCCTCCCCCCGCACTGCAGCCGCGGGGAGCGCCGCGCCATCGAGAAGCTGGCGGTGGAAGGTAGGGGGCGCCGTCCGTCCGTCCGTCGGGTTGTCCGTCCCGGGCCCGGCCTGTTTACCGGCCGCCCGAACCGCTGCGCTCCTCTGGCGCCGCGGGATCCGGTTCCCCGGGGGCCGCGGGGCGGGGCCCGGGGCCGCGGGGATCCCGGCGGGAGTGTGTATGGGGGGGCGCCGGGCGGGCGGCGGGGGCCGGGCGGGCGGCGGCCCTGAACGCGCCCCTCCGCAGCCCTGTCCAGCCTGGAGGGCGACCTGGCCGGCCGCTACTACTCGCTCAAGAGCATGACCGAGGCGGAGCAGCAGCAGCTCATCGACGACCACTTCCTCTTCGACAAGCCGGTGTCGCCCCTGCTGCTGGCCTCGGGCATGGCCCGCGACTGGCCCGATGCCCGCGGCATCTGGTACGGGCCGCCCGGTCCTCCTCGTCCCGGTCCTCCCCCCCCCGCCCTCTCCCCCCTCGTCCCCCCCTCCGTCCTCCTTGCCCCCCTTTTTCCTTCTCTCCAGCCCTCCGCCCTCCCCGTGCGCGGGCGGGGGCGGGGCGGGGGAGCTGAGTCCGGGCTGCGTGGCGGCGGCGCAGGTGCTTGCGGGCCGCCGAGGGCGGGGCGGGCGCCGCCGTCTCCGAGTCTCCCGTGAGACCGGCGCCGCTCTCCCGGTGTCTCCGCTCTCCCGGGAGCCGGAGCGGCTTGTTTTCCCTGTTCTCCTCCCCTCCCCGTCCCCCCCCCCCCCACGCAGCCCGATGACCATGATGCAGGCGCGTCGGGCAGGGCGCCTGCGCGGCTCGGCCTCGCTGGCGGCGGGACCGCGTGGGCTCCGCCCCGCCTCCCCTCCGGGCCTCCCCTCGCCGGGTGGGCGCGGTCCTTGGGCTGAGGTCGTTGGGGGACTGAGGTCACTTTGGAGCTGCGGCCTGCCGCCCCCTCCTCCGCAGGCACAATGACAACAAGACCTTCCTGGTGTGGATCAACGAGGAGGACCACCTGCGCGTCATCTCCATGCAGAAGGGAGGCAACATGAGGGAGGTGTTCACGCGCTTCTGCACAGGCCTCACCCAGGTGGGGCTCCGCGTGCGCGCTCCTGGCCGGGGTCCCCAGCCACCCCTCCCTCGGGGCTGCCGGCCGGGCGCCCCCTCTGAAGACCGCGCCTCCGCCCCCAGATCGAGAGCCTGTTCAAGGCCAGGAACTACGAGTTCATGTGGAACCCGCACCTGGGCTACATCCTCACCTGCCCCTCCAACCTGGGCACCGGGCTGCGCGCGGGCGTGCACGTCAAGCTGCCGCACCTGGGCAAGCACGAGAAGTTCCCCGAGGTGCTCAAGCGGCTCCGGCTCCAGAAGCGGGGCACAGGTGAGGGGGGACCCCGGGGCCGGGCGCCAGGGGGCCCGCGGACGGCCCCGTGGTGCTGACCGGCCCGCGCTCCCCAGGCGGGGTGGACACGGCCGCCGTGGGCGGCGTCTTCGACATCTCCAACGCCGACCGCCTGGGCTTCTCGGAGGTGGAGCTGGTGCAGATGGTGGTGGACGGCGTGAAGCTGCTCATCGAGATGGAGCAGCGGCTGGAGCAGAGCCAGACCCTCGACGACCTCATGCCGGCGCAGAAGTGAGGCCGCCCGCCGGCCGCCGGCCGCTCCCGCTCCGCTCCCTAACGCATTGCCGGCCGCGCGCCGCACTCCCCTGCGCCCGCCGCCCCGGCCCAGCCCTCCGCCTTGCCGTAGACGCCCGGCGCCCGGGCAGAGTTTATTTTTTGGATGGCTAAGCTGTTGCTGAAATAAACCAGGGTCTGGCCTGCCCGGTGTCCGACGCCTTTCTTGGGGAAGCTGTCAGGGAGCGCGGGGTCCCGAGGCCTGGTGGCCCCGCGCCCGGGGAGAAGGCGCCAGGCCCCGCCGGGCCGGGCCCGCGTGCGCGGGACAGGCGGGACAGGAGGGTCAGGCGGGGGCGCCGCGCTCCGAGGCTGCATGAGCATCTAAGGACATTTGGCTGCGGGAGGCGGAGCCTGGCGCTCTCCCCGGTCCCGTGGTGCGGATGGAGGCAGAAACTTGATACTTTTCCAGTTCCTTCTCCCGTCTTCCTGGCAGCCCTCAAATCCAGGCTTCTCTCCCCTGCCTCCTCTCCCTCCCTCCCTCCCTTCGCCACCACCTACTCCATCTCCTAAATAACCAGCCTCCACCCTCCGGCCCAGCTGCCTCCCCCCCTGGCCTCCGCTGGAGGCCCCTCAGGTCCTCCAGGGCCCAGGGGGCTGTTCCTGGACCTCCTTGGTGGGCAAGAGGGGGTCAGGCTGTCCAGGGCGCCATTCCTCGGCCCTCCAAGCTCAGGTTCTGGAGTGCTGGAACCCCTTAAGGGTCGGGAGGAGCAGGCTGCCTGGCTAGGCCTCTCCTTCCCCCATGGGCTGGCGTGTGCTGCCACCTGCCGGCCAGGGCGGTCTCCACACAGAGCCTCAAGGCTGCAGATCTCCGCCCTCCACACATGGGTAAGCACTTTTTTTTGTCAGTCATGGGTCTTGAACTCTGGGCCTGGGCGCTGTCCCTCAGCTCTTCAGCGCAAGGCGAGTGCTCTACCACTTGAGCCATAGCACCACCTCCGGTTTTCTGATAGTTAGAGATAAGACTCTCATGGACTTTGCCCGGGCTGGCTTTGAACCGTGAACCTCAGATCTCAGCCTCCTGAGTAGCTAGGATGACAGGCATGAGCCACCCACGCCCAGTGGTTAAGCACCTTTTTGTCTGCACACACAAGCATGCCCAACCCAGACTCGAGCCTAGCCCCAGCAGGCTGAGTCCACATGGGCTACGCTGCAGGGCTGTATCCTGACACCTGCTTCAGTGGCCAGGCTCCATCTAGAGAGGGGTGTGTATGGTAGGCAGAGCCTTGAGAGGTCCTCCCTAATGCTGCACAGTGAGTCACGCACCTGGCCGCCGTGAGGGAAGCCCCTGCACCAGGCCGGCCTGGGAAGATTTCTTGGTAGAGAAGCTTGGGATGCTGTCACCTGGCTCATGCCAGGCACCCGCCCCACTGCCCTGTGCTGAGCCAGGCCTGCAGAGCAGCCTGGGCCAGGCCACCCTGGTGCTCCGTGGACCTGTGCTCTGGGCTTCCCCTGTCAGACAGCCCCCCTTCCTCTGCTAGACTCCAGACTTCAGTGGTGCCTGGTGAACAGAGCGAGGAGCCCCCCCCCCCGACACAGCACAGGACTGGGGGGGTCCAAAGAGCTGGGAACACACAGTGTCCAAGCAGGATCCTAAGTAGGGCACCCATCTCCCTGAGGCCTGGCAGGACGGACCATACTTACAGCCTGGGGTTTCTGGCCAGCAGCAACCCCCACGAGGTTTCAGCCACGTGGCTCAGCCCTGCACCCAGTGGGAGCTTCAGCACTGTGGCCAGGCTACCAGGACTCCCCTCACCTGGTGCCAGCAGCAGCATTCAGAACGTCACCTGAGGACTGTGGCACTACAGCAACTAAGGGACATGATAATTGAACTAGGGAGAACTGGCCAGCACAGCCCACAAGAAATAGCTGGTGAAGCTGAGCCCTCGGCAGGGGCTAGAAGCAAGCAACACCCAGGGTGGAGCACCACGGAGGACGGAGCTGAGCGGGCTGACAAGCCAACGCAGGTTACGAAACAGCTTGTTCCCTGGGATCCCACACAGGATGCGTGGCAAAGCCCTGGCGCAGCCTTCCGCTGCTGGTGGGTGAGGAACAGGTGGCTTCCTTCTGTACCCTTCATCTCCCAAATACAGTGAACACGCATCACTTATAGAAGGCACCGAGGTTCACACCTGTAATCCTAACTACTCAGAAGAGGAGATCTGAGGATTGCAGTTTGTTGCCATCCCAGTCAGCAAAGTCTGTGAGACTTACTCTCTAACAAACTGCTCAGAAAAAGCCAGGAGTGGGGCTGTGGCTCAAGTGGTAGAGCGCTAGCCTTGAGCAAAAGAGGCTCAGCAGGGATTAGCACCCAGGCCAAGTGCAAGCCCCAAGACTGCCCTCCCCAAAAGGACAGTAATTTTTGTTGTTCAAGTCCAGGGTTGGAACTTGTTACTTGATACTTTTGCTTATTGGCTGGTGCTCTACCAACTTAGCCACACCCTCAACCCCAAGACAAAGTGTTTTTTGTGGTGCTAGGGATCAAACCTAGGGGCTCGTGCAAGCACTTTTATCACTGAGCTACAATGCCAGCCCTCAAAAAAAAAAAAAAAAAAAAAAGGGGCTGGGAAGGTGGCTCAGTGGTAGAGCGCTTGCCTTGCATGCCTGAAGCCCTGGGTTCAATTCCTCAGCACCACATAAGCAGAAAAAGCTGAAGTGGTGCTATAGCTCAAGTGGTTGAGCATTAGCCTTAAGCTGAAGAGCTGAGGGATAGCGCCCAGGCCCGGAGTTCATGCCCATGACTGACAAAAAAAAAAAAAAAAGGTGGTTGTTTTTTATTTAGTTTGCCAGTATCAGGGTTTGAACTCAGTTTCCATTTTGCACAGTTTGCTTGCTTGAGTGGTGCCCTACTACTTGAGCCACATCTCCAGCTTCACATTTTGCTTGCTATGTTGGAGACATAATCTGGCTCTTCCACCCAGGCTGGACAAAAACTGAGCCTCCGGATTTCAGCCTGCGCAACAAGGACTACAGTCATGAGCCATGGGTGCATGGGGCTTGCACTCGGCCTGAACACCATCTCTTCTTTTTGCTCAAGGCTAGCACTCTACCACTTGAGCCACAGCGCCATTTCTGGCTTTTTCTGTTTATGTGCTGAGGAATTGAACCCAGGGTTCTGTGTATGCTAGGCAGGTACTCTACCACTAACCACATTCCCAGCCCCTCAAAACATGTCTTTAAATGCTGTGATATGTTTGTCACAGCCAGAGAAAAGTTCACTAAAGCATCAGCAGGAGAAATTCAGTTCCCACTCCTACCCCTGTGATAGGAAAACTGAGGCTCAGAAAACTGACTCTAAGGTCATTTGACTATGAGCCTTGGACTCATTTCACTGTGTTTTGACTTTTAAAGCTTTCCAGACTTCTCATGGGTGGGACCTACTTCTTCTGTCAACAGTACTTAGAAGACAGCAATTGTCTGTGAGCTGCTGACAACCCTTCTGTTTCTGAGCCAGGCTGGTACTTAGCAGGGCCTCTCTGAGTACCCTAAGGGTCTGCTCTTTGTGCTCACAGGGGTTCAAGTTAATCTTCCCAGAGGAGGAGGAGAAACAGTCTTTCCATGGCAAGAAGTCATCCTGGTGCTTGGAGCATGGCTCAGGACAGCGCTAGCCCATGAGTGAAAGCTACAGGACCAGAGTTTGAATGCTGGTTTCAGACATTAGGAAAGAAAGAAGTTATGCTGTCACCCAGGCAGTGACATTTCAGCCAAGAGAGGCAAGGCAGCCTTTAGACCACAGCTACTAGACTAGACCCTTCCCACTCCTCCCTGCAGCCCTGGCTGACCAAATCCCTAGCTTCGCTGAAGACACAGAGGAGGTGGTTTTGCTTGTTTTCCGAAGACCCGACGTCTCAATTTTTCTCAGAGTGAGAGTATCATCTGAAGGTGACTCTGGTGTGTATGGGTCAGTCCTGTCCTAGGGGTCCACGGAGCCTGCAGGAGAGTGGCTGAGGAGAGACATAAGAAGGGCAGAAAGTCAGTGCTGGAAGCCAGCGCTGCTTCTAAGCCTATTTTGCTTTGGCTCCCTCTGCTGGCCAACCTCTGCACCGCCGGCCTGGGGCCTCCCGGCAGCGCCTTTCCTCCAGCAGCATTCTCAGCCCCGCTTGCTTGCGTGATGGGCAGGAGATGGGAGCGCTCCAGTGCCACCCCAGGATGCGAATACAAGGCCACTCTGCACATGGCGGAGCGGGACTTCCGTGTGACATTTGACCCTCTCCCGGTGGGGTGGCCAACTGGGGCTGTAACCCTGGTATGCCATGCAGAGCTGGGAGCCCAGAGTGCAAGGGCTTGGGGGGGCGGGGGCGGGGAATCATGTCCAGGAATCTAGGTGGAAAGAAGATAGGGATGCCTGGTGGGGGAGGGGGTCTCCATCAACTCTTCCCCACCTGGACTGCGCTCCTGGGTTCCTGCATGCCAAGATCATTGGAGCGAAAACAGCCCAAGAGGAACCAACCAAAGAGCGTGCTGCCTAGTTTTGCCCCACCTTACACCCATGCCAATACATCAATCAGGACCCGGTATGCGCCCTGAGGAGAGGCTGCAACAGCATTCATTCGAGGATGGGGAGAGGGTGACAGGCCCCAGAGACCTGCAAGGAGGAGCCGGCTTTGCCTCTGCTTTTCCAGCCTCAAGGATCACATGACTATTTTCAATGCCCCAGTTGGGGGGGTGCTGGATGCTCAAGCCTATAGTCCTAGCTACTTGGGAGGCTGAGATCTGAGGATCAAGGTTCAAAGCCAGCCAGGGCAGGTGAGACTGTTATCTCCAATAAACCACTCAGAAAACGAAGTAGCGCTGTGGTTCAAGTGGTAGCACTCGCCTTGAGCTGAGGGACAGCGTCCAGGTCCAGAGTTCAAGCCCCACGACCGACCAAAAAAAAAAAAAAGCCCCAGTTGTTTGGTTAACTTGAGTAAAATCTTGGTACTAGGAAACAAACCCCTGCAAAATGCCTGCTGCACTGCCATCCTGGCACTACCAGGACAAAAGGGTTCGGGGTGTGGTGGCTGTGGGTGACCTGATCTCCAGCCACTCTGGCAGGTGGGTGGCTGGGGGTGTGCCCACAAGATGGGGGACAGCACCAGAGGGCCAAGGCTGCAGAGGAGTGGTCAGCAGGCTGGCCAAGTTGAGCTGTGCATAGGAAAGCCTGGCTGGAGGAGGGTGT